TGATAAGAAATATAAAATAGTAAAATTTTTTTACAAACTGAATAATAATATAGATAATTTTATAATGCTTGATCCATGATTTAAGTTTGATTACTATGAAGATAATAAGTAAAAACAAAATTTTATTCAATATATAAAAGAAACAGTTCTTAATGTTTATAATACTAATTATGCATCTGATTATACTAATGTAAAAGTTGCTGATAATACTGATGATGATGAATTATTAGATTACATTTTTGGTAAAAAGAACAATCATTAACAAATTGAAGTAGAAATATATTTAAAAAATCCTTGAGCAGATCGAAATTAAGATGTTTTATTGTGATAGAAGGTATATATTTAAAAATAATTATTATGGTCCAGTGCAAAAATATTTGTACATTAAAAAAAACCACCAATAAAAAAAATTTTATTAATTAAACTTTTTTTTTATTATTTAAATAATATTAATATATATCGGGAAGTATAAAAATGTGAAAATTAAATCAAATTACGTGATCATTATCAGAACTACTATAATTATCAAATTCATCGTCAATTAATTATGCATTTTCGTCAGATGCAAAATATTCCTTAGTATTGTTTAACACTCTTTTCCAAAGCCTGATAATAATTTGTGAAGTAATTTTGTATTTAAATGCATTCAATAGTTTGTTTCAGATAGATAAAAGATTTAGATATGAGCCTGAACATGCAACTTTACCCTTTACTACTGACTAAATACCTTCGATAGGTTGAAGTTCACAATGATATGGAGGGGTAAAATTAATTTCATGTTCGTACTGTTCTACTATTTTAATACAAGAAAAAGAAACCTTTTCCTTATTTATTTGCACTAGTTTCAAAAGTTCTAGCTTTCTTAATTCACCAAAAAAAGAAATATCATGTGCATTTAACCAGTCAACTATTTCTTGTTTTTTTGCACTTGAAATTAGAATGTTTTTTACTCACCGTTTATGGTAATTAGCTTCATCCATATAGATAATTACTGACCCATATTTTTCATGAAGATTTTTACACAGAGTTAAAAAAAGATTCTCAAATATTTCTGCATTGAAGTTTCCATGATAATCTACCTGGTTTGGAATGATATTAGCATCCTTAATAACATCAGGAATATTATCATATTCTTCAGCATTATTTTTTTTCTAATCTCTATTTTCTGAAGATTTAATTTTTAGATCCCAAATATGAATAGAATTTGGAACAAGTTCGCCATGCAGTTTATTGAAGGACCCATTTCGAAATACTATAATTGCACTAAAAATTACTACTAACAGTCTATGTCTAGGTAATAAAACAACACCTTGATAGGGAACCTATGTGTTTTACAGTTTAGTGCAAATGGCAATATGACTTATCAAGGAAAACCTCTGGATGGCGTGAAACATCATTTTTACCTTTCAAATTAGTAAAAGATAATGGCAACAGAATGTAATATTATTTGGTGATTCGTGAAGGATGTTCCTTCACTCTTCCTGTCTAAAATTATATCCCAAGCGATGTAGTACCTGAAGGAGCTTCCATTTAGAAATAGTATATCCTTATTCAGAAAGAAATTGTCTTAGAATAGGTGTGGAAAGGTGTTCATCCGCTTTATTGGTACTTAGAACCTTCATATGCAAAAGCTCAGCTTCATTTTCATCAGGTTTTAATATAGGTCATCTAAGAACTTTATGTAGTATAAATGTATTATTACAACAGCTGTTTCAATCTGATACAATACTTCTAATTGTACCCTCAGATACACCCAATATCTCAGCAACTCGCTTGCGTAATAGTAGCTTTTGAAGGCTTTCTCTTATAGATTTATTCCCCTTAAAGTAATTGTGAACGTTAATTATCATCAATTTTTCATTATCCATCAGTGGTGTACCATTTTGTTTTAAAAAGGAAGATTCATGGCATGATAAAAAAACTTGTGGGAAAAAATGTATTTGGTTATGTTCGAACAAATATTTAATTTTTAGCCTACTTTATTTTAGTGATACGATATTTATTTTAGCGTAAATCTTTTTTTTTTTTGGCAGTATACAAATCTTTTTGCACTGGACCATATATTTTATTTGATTTAATTTTACTAATTCATTAATAAATATATATAGTTAAATGAAGTAGAGTATCTACACCTAATAGCAATGGTAAGAGATTATCTTGCAATTGCAGGTAAAAAAAATTTATTCATTTTAATATTACTAAATATTAGTTAATAAATAATTTTTAATTTAGCTATAAGTGTTCTAGTAAAACAGATCTTTTCTGGTAGAACTGATTTGATAACAGTAAAAAGAAGCAATCTCAAAAAAAATACAATTCACACCTATATGTATTTGAAGTCATGGTAAGAGTAAAGAGAATTTAATTAAAATATATTTTATAATTTTATTATAAAAATTTAAATAAAACTTAATTAGAAACTTTTTTTGTAAAAGTTATGCGATATACATACTATTATCTTGCTGATCATAAATAAATTTGTTAAAATTTTATTTGACCTGGATTATCTAGGGATCAAACTATAATGGGTTAGGTTAGAATCAGATTTTATAATATTAACCTGAGTATTTATATGGGTTAGTTTTTATAAATGAGTTGAGTTTGAGTATATTCTCAAACCTGACCTGATTTGACCCTTTTAGAACACTAGTGTCAGTATTAGTGGTATTAGTGTTAGTATTAGGTAAAAATAAGATATATAAAAATGGCTAATCATTGGAGTTACACAAATTATTAAAAACTAAAAAATTTTTATCGTAATACAGATCCTTCTTTAATACATAATTATGTATCTCACATAACATGCAAAAGGTAAGATCTATATACCTTGACAATATGTCTTATTATTATATTCTATTATTATTATATAAGTAATTTGATTAAAATAATTTTTTTTTTATTAAAAAAAAAACTTATTTTAATCAAATTATAAAAATATGTTATAAAGGTATAGTATAATAAAGAAATTAAAAATATTTTCATCAAACAAGAAAAAAGAAGAAAAGGAATGAAGTTTTGTGACTAAAAATTAGTTGATTTGATGGTTTGATAATTTTCTAATCTTTTTTTTTTTATGAATTTATATTAGAACCAGTTTCAGATATTAAAAAAACTTCCTCATTAGAAAGTAATATATATTGTTAATTATTTGTTTGAAATTCAAAAATTTTAACTGTTTTAATTGATAAAGATAATACAACTAATATTAATTTTAAAATTTTCTCAAAAATAAATATTATAATAGAATCAGATCAGATACTCCACATTAAAAAAATTAAATAGTAATAAATTTATTATCTATTATTTATTTATATAATTATATAATAGTAATAATACTTTGATTATAAACCATTTAATTTTATTATATTTTAATTTAAATTTAAATAATTTATATTTAAATAATACTTAATATTCAATAAAATTATAGGGAGTAAGTTATTTATTTTACATTATAATTTAAACTCAATTTATTATATAAAAATTTTTAATGTTAATTAATGATCTTTTAATTGGTAAATTATTTATATTTATAATTGCTAATTAATATTTATAATAATTTATAAATAAAATATTAATAATTTAAATGGTAAATTATTAATTATTTTTTATATTTATTATAATTTATATAAAAAATATTAATATTCTTTATAATATTATAGAAAGTAAGATATTAATTAATAATTACACTTGTTACTATAATTTAAAGTCAACTAAATTTTTATTTAAAAAAATAAATTAATAATATAGTAGATGGTAAGTTATTTTTATTGATTATCAGTATTTAATTACACTTATTACTGTAATTTAAGGTCAACTAAATTTTTTATTTAAAAAATAAATTAATAATATAATAGATGGTAAGTTATTTTATTAATTATCAGTATTTATTTACACTTATATTGTAATTTAAAATCAACTAAATTTTATATTAAAAAAATAAATTTTATTAGCATGTAAGTTATTTTTATTGATTATCAATATTTAATTACACTTGTTATTATAATTTAAAGTTAACTAAATTTTTTATTTAAAAAATAAATTAATAATATAATAGATGATAAGTTATTATTAGTATTTAATTACACTTGTTATTGTAATTTAAAATCAATTAAACTTTATATTAAAAAAAATAAATTTTATTAGCATGTAAGTTATTTTTATTGATCATTCAGCGGGACCTTATGGATTGTATTATTCTAAAAAATATAAAATGCTGTATCACTAAAATTAATGACATAACAGATTACTAAATCAGAAAATTTTAGCTGCTGTTTTTACATTACGATAATTAAAAAGAGTATCTAAAATTGGAATTCTAATTTCAGTTAACTGATCTTTGAATATCAATTTCAAACACTCAAAGATCACTTGAATTTCAATTTTAGACAAAAATCAATTTCAGTCACAATAACAATACTCGATAATATCATTAATGGTAATCAACAATGATTTCAAGATTCTAAGGAAGTTATTTTTTGTAAGATGGTTAAATTATTCATATTGAAAGCTCTATTGAGAAAATTCTATTTTTTTACACAAATCGATAATGATGATATGCCTCATGTAGACTTTGCTTCATTTTCTAATACAATAAACACATTAAAACAACTTATGACATTTGAAACTTGTACAAATGTAGATCTAAAGTTTTTCCAACAGGTTTCATTATGTCAAAAATTTGAATATTTAACATTGCATTTCAAAGAAACATATTTAGAATGTTTAACAAAAATCATAAATGCGTAAAATAATCAAAAGTACTTAAGGTAATTTGTGAGTATAAAGCGTATTATTGGTCTAAATTAGCTGATTCATTGAAAAATCATCCTTTACATCATATTATCTTGACAAAATTATCATTAACCTTATGTGGATTTAAATCATCAATCAGATTTCTATATAATTTTAAGAATTTGCGTAAATTGACTCTTTACTAATTTCATGATTTTTTTGATAATTTTGATGTATTACAACATATCTTTTTTCTGCATTTGAGGTATTTGAAGATGGTCCCTATCATACCGAATCAATAACATAATGGGAGAAGCTTGAATCATTTTGAAATCAATTCAAATCACAAAGATTGGAATTTTCTATTTCTGTCTGAACCTTAAACACTACAAAAAGATCAGAAATGCTTAGAAACTGATGGAAAATCTATTAATCATTGCAAGGAATTAAAAGTGCTTTGGATTTTATGCAAGAACAATCATTTTAATGAAAGTAAGATAATTAGACTTATTGTAAGGTAATGCCAAAAATTCCATATTGAAGTGAAAATATGTACAAAGATTCCCAATCAATCAGAGATAATTTTGGAAGAATTGAACAATATGCTAAAGAGTTAGGAAAAATATGACCCACCTAAAACCATTTCATTGCACCTTCAAAGAGTATATAGGGTCAACATTAAACATTCTATTAGAAATGAAATTGCAAAATATGAAGATATGGGAATTATTAAAGAATTTGAAGCTGAAGAACTTCATAATTGGTAATTGAGTGGACCTTCAAAAATGATTATTTTAAAATAATATAAAATTAATTTTTTATTAGAAAAAAATAACTTCTATAGATAGAATATAATTATACTTTTCATTGTTTATAATTTTTCCAAAATCATTTTCGTTTGAGTATAAAATAGTACTATTAATTTACTGTAATAAAAAACAAAAAAACGTTTATTTTAATATGAAATGTCTATGGTTATAATTATAAATAAAATATTACTAAAATATATTATTTATCAATATGGAAATGCTGTAAATTCTATATTAAAGCTTACCACGTAAGTATTCTTTTAAATATGTTGGCTGGTCAAACCATAACAATAGAATACGAATTTTTGATGACAATTGACAAATTAAAATCTTTAATTCGAAATCAGTTTGATTTCAAATTCGCATAACAACTATTCTTCGAAATCATTTTCATCAGCTTTGCCGTGTTATATAACGAGTTTATAAGGAAATTTGAAAAAAATTTCCCAAAAAAAAATTCGGCTGAGAAAGTTTAATGATTTAAATTTTGGTTTATAGAATTTTAACTTTCAAAATTCATAATCAATGTTTAACAGCTCATATGGTACCCCTAATTATGCAACCACATGATCAGGTTTTAATAATCTTAACGAGACGAAAGGAAAGTACAAGAAAATGTTCATTAGCAAAGTAACCGTAAATTTTACATATACTGTTTAATTATATACTTTGTTTGTTAACAAAGATAACAGTCTGTAAATCTGAGAACCATTAGGTGATTCATGGTCATTGCCATGAACGTTGATAGGCTTTCAGGTCAGTACGAATGAATAAAATAATACCATCTTTTATGATCAATTAGTCTAAAAACAAAATATTCTTTAAGCGTAAATTATCCTAAGAAGGATAAATTGGTATTCATAAATAACTAATTGTTGATATTATTTTAATTTTTATTTTTAAAAGTTTTGAAATGGGTTGAGTACACTGTAACATAATTTTCAAGAAGCACCTTATATTTTCGTTTGCTTCAAAATTTTTGATTTTAAACTAAATGGCTTTTACAAATCTTTAATTGTCAACTATTAAGGTAAAATGTAAAGATCAAAAATAAATAATTAAAATCATACCTTTTACATCTCATTGAAATAATTTATGTATATTTTTTTACTTAAAAAAATAAGGTGGATTTTTACAACATTTATCATTTTTATTGTTAAAGATCTCTCTCTATTTGAAATTTCTTCTTAAGCCTTACAAAAAAAAAAAAAAAATATCGCAAAAAAATTGAAAATTTTCCTTCAAGCGGTTGGCACAAAACTTTTAAAGTGAAAAAAAAAACAAAAAAGTGTTTTTTGAATTGCTGTTAAATAATTATGGGGACGGTCTAAAAAGCCCGACTCAGGGTCACTTCTGGAAACAAATTCTAAATTCAACATATTCTGAGCTTACCTGTGTTACAAACTAATTTTACCAATTTTAAAATCAAAATGGAAATGGAACTAGACTGGCTTAAAAAAAGTCTGCTCAAAATAGGTTCGTAAGAAAGTTATACCGATCAAAAAAATTTTTTATTAATCAACATCTGCTCTATTTGTATAAATTTAACTTAACGCCTTAAAGTACTCTTTTCGAGTTGTTACTTTCCGTCTGAATTTAGCCATGACTAAGGATGCTAATGGTCATGGTCATGACTGACCGATTGTGCTACTATATAAAATGACAAAGTAGTTTTAAAAAAATGCTATGCTAGTATTGTTAAAGTAAGAATCAAAATTATAATATTTGGCTAAATTAAAACTTTTTATTAAGCCAAAACTGCTCAATTATATTACTATTAACTGGTCGGTCAACCAGTTAGTTAAAAACGGTCAGTTAACCGGTCGGTTGATCAAGGTCTTTGACTGACCGTTACCATCTCTAGCTATGACAAAAGTCAAAGTTTTTTTTTTAATGGAGTAATTACAAATGAATTTTTCGAGACGGCAAAAAAAAAAATCAAACAAGAAGAACATGCGTGAAATGCAAAAAAAAAAAAGAAAACTGACAAAAAAGAAGCTAAATAAATGAAGCGGAAAAGGAAAAGATGATGAAGAGCACGTATTGCGAGTAAAGAAGCTTAAAGACTATCTATATCATATAAATTATTGATTCAAGCTTAATGCGAGAAGCAGTCCAATTGATGGTTAACTCATAAGATCATGAAATTCATTAAAATGGTGAACACAAAATAATGAAACGAGTGGCTTAAATCCATTTATGTTCAATTTTTTTGAACTAAGATTAGTCTAGCTTTCCAGAAAGTAATTATACTTCAGCTTTAATTTATTTGTGTTGGAAAAAATAGATTTTAATGTTAACTGAAGTTTAAAACAAATTAGCTTTAAAGTATCATAACTTAAGCAAATATAATAGTTTTTAAACGTGAATATCTATCTTCACAATCTTTTTTTTTTAAAAAAAAAAAGAAACAAATTTTAAAATACAAGCCAATAATAACCGTGATCTGAAGCTGTAGAAGAGAATTTTTTTAAAATACCTTGATTGTATTTTAAAATTTATTTAAAGAAGTTTCGGAGTAAAGCGATATTTTTTTTTAAAAAAAAAAATTATTTAATAGAAGCTTCAGAAGCAAATAAATCAAAACAATGGTATAAGTTAAAGGCAAGTTTTAACAAAAATATAAATTATCAAAGATTTTTTTGTAGGGAAAATCTTTAATATATAAAGATGGTTTACATTAACTTTGTCTTGTCAGGTACTCAATGATTTCTATCCTTAAGAAACTAATGATCATCGTCTATGAAAATTTATAGAATAGTACACCTAATTTAACTGAAAATTTAAATTTTATACTTTTTATGACGAAGTATTTTTTTTCTTTTTGTTTATTGTCTGAGTTACACAACAAAATTGGTTTTACTAATGGATCACGTGTTTACTTGTTTAATAAAAAAATTATTACCTCAAGAAAAAATAACTATGCTAAGAAATATGCAAGTGAATTTTACATACTATTATATTTAGAAGCTTTATTAAATTTAATTGGTTAAGTGGCTTTCCCTCTCATCAATTATTCTTTTTAATTTATAAAAAGAAATTAAACTTTTCGTATGAACTTGTCTCGTTCAGATACCATTCCATCCCATCCAGTAATTAAATCATACAACTTTTCTACTGAAACGATAATAATTATCTTACAGAATAATTCTTTCAATTTATTATTTCAGAATCAAGCTGTAATTTTTTAATACTTTTAGATACTTTACTTTCCATTTACCAATGTAAGTTCTTTTTTGAATAAAATTTAAATTCAACCGAAAGATCCAAGAAAATAAATCGTTTTTTGTTTTTTACTGTATTAACAATTGGATATTGGATTAATTATTAATCCACCAAAAAAAAAAAACTATAATGCATTGCTATTTTAAATGTCCAATCAAATTACATTTCAATTAAAGAGAGAAGAACTACGAAAATATTTATTAATTAATTCTTTTAGTATTTTAGAAAGTATCGACATTAAAATTTCAGTATGTCGCAACCTGGAATTTTCTCCAAATCATATTTGATTTACATACTGCTGTCAGTAACGACAGCTCACACGTTAAATTTCATTTGTAATTCTCCAATATCTACATGGCAAGAATTTCCTCCAAAATTACCAACCTCAGTATATTCATCAATATTTTTTAATGCATTATTATTATTTTTGTCACTTTCATTTGAACCAATTCAATCAAGTAAACAATTTTATATTTTATTATCGCAATGGTAATTCCAGAGAAACCATACCAACTTCGTTTATTAGAATTTTTTACAAAGGAATCCCTGCGTTTACAATGACTTCAATATTACAATACTTAAATTTCCTTTTATGTGTATATTTAATGTTGTCTGTATATACTTACGATATATACTCTATCATTAATGCAACCTTCTACCGTTTATTCCTTCATTCCTCATCGGAAGAAATTAATTATAAACCTATTTTAATTAAATCTGGTCTTCTCACTCCTTCTGAATATGTCTCCCTAAAAGAATGGATGATCACATTCCTTTTCAATACAAAACATTTATTTAGTGAACCATGGATGTCATCAAGTCCACGTGACTTTTGGTCTGCTCGTTGGCAATTAATGATTAGTGAAAGCTTCAAAGAATTAGGTTTTTTATCTGTCAAGAATGTATTCGCCTCATTCGTTCCTAAGAAAATCGCAAATATGATGGGCGTGTTAGGTGCATTCGGTGTTAGCGTTTATTGTATAAACACCTTATCATTGGTCAATTTAATATTTGGACAGGTGAACACCTCTTTTTCTTTATGATCCATGGTGTAATATTCATCTTGTGGGAGACTATTTTTGGTCGTGAAAATATAAATGAGTATCCAAAAATTAAAAGGTTCTTAAAGTGGTTCCTATTGTTAATTATTAATTTGTCTGTTTTGCCAGCATTCATTGAAACTTTAAGAAGGTGACCTGAGATATTTGAAATTCCTTCAATTTTTATTAAACATTTTTAATCAATTTAATAAAGATTCGAGAGGTATTTAAAATTATAAACATTTATTGTTACAATTAAATATTTTATCATTATCGAGTTATGGATAGAATTTAGACATTAAGAATAATTCATCATACGTCATAATGTTCATAATTCGTCATTATTTCACAAAGTAAATTTAAATAAAAATTTTGCAATTAATTCATTTACTGTATCATTTATTAATATAATAAACAAATTTAAGATATTTCATTTTGCTCTCGATATTTAAACGTTTTTCCAAGTTTTTTATGGAAAGTTTGTCTCAACCCATCGATATTAAAATTTCAAAATAAGCACTCATTTTCAAAAATATTATTAAATAAACATAAAAAATATAAAGAACGCATTTTAGACCAATCTTATTGATATTCTTGAATTAAAATGAAATTAATTTATTATTAAAAATGCAAAGACTTTAGTGCTAAAAATTTAGTATTATCATGAAGAATCCTAAGAAGATCACAATAAGTTCTTTAAAATTTCCTAAAAAAAAAAATAACCTGCCATATACATATATCAATATTCGAGAATAATTTTATAACGTTACAAAGTTGCTTCATAACAACAGGAGCTCTTTGTATATCTTTATCAAATATTGAAATGACACTTTTATTATCTTGTTTTCTATTGTATCTTCGTGGTTCATATAAACTAGGTATACAATGAAATTTTGTAAAAAAAATTTCGAATCTGTATAATTAGTCTTTGACAAAAATGGGATTAGGGGTTTTATCAGCATAAATAAACCATTTATTAATAATAATTATTAATCATAAAATATATATACTGTGCCTAAATATTTTAAATTATTGAAATTATTTAATTTATTACATCAAATGCCCACGTAGAAATAATATTTGTATTATATGTTAAGAAATTTCAAGCCTACTGATAACAAAGTTCCAGGTCAACTAAAAATAAAATTTAGAATTTTAACATAAGAAATTTATCTATTCATGCTAGAATCATATATTTGCAATTTCGCGGACTTTAAATTAGTTGAATTAACCGTTTCTTATAGTCTAATAGTAGGTATAAATTTTCAACTGGTTGACCCTTTGCCATCCTCTATTTTGAGACTTAAACAATGCTGTTAAGTGTTCCCACGCCACGAAATCCAAGTTTGCTCTGTTGATGCCAAATGTTGTCATCAACGTGGATTGTAGATTTTTGCATTTATTTCGAACTTGAAAAATTAATATTTGATGACGAGAAATAATTTCTCACAATATTAGAATACTTGAAATACGGTATATTCAAGAAATAATAAATTATAATATAAATAAAAACGTCAAATATCCGTTATATCAATAACTTGTATTATTGAAAATACCTTCATTGTTTGATTCCTCTAATTTATTACTAAAAGTAATTAATAATGTTCAATTACGATGATTATTGTAAGATTAATCATAATAAATATATATGACTCGTAAATTTTTTATATAAAGTGAAATTATGGGGTGAATTCATAAGTGAATTAACATATAAAGAACTTAATGCTCAACTTAAGTAGAGTTTTTGCTTTTCAGTCGTTGTTAATCACCATTACTTTAACCGAAAAGTGCGAAATGCCGTTAAAACTTCCGTTTGTGATCAACAAATTCTACGTAAATGTATTGGTCCTTTTGTAAGATTTCTATTAAGTACCAATTGTACCATATAAAATTTCGATTCTAAAAATTAGCTGCTAACAGTAAAAGAATATGAAAGAATTGTTTGACATATCATTTGACGGAAATAAATTGAGCAAATAAATGTTTTCGTGCAGAATTCTTGAAGTTTGGCGCTGAATCAAAACAAACTTATCGATTCCGCCAAAAGGCGAGAGAGAAACATAGAGGAGCGTTTTCTGAAACAACTATTGTTAATTTACTTTGGTATTGCAGTATATCGGAAATTCTGGTCATGATCCTAATTATAAAATTGAATTTGATTAATGGTCATGATGTAAAATCTCATCCAACAACGCCATGATAAACATCATATCACAACAGGACATTTGGTAAAACATACAGGTAAATTTGATATCTGGTTTTTGGGTGAAATAATTACTAATAAGTGGTTATTATACAAAAAAAAATGCATCCTCTTAGAAAGGGTACGATGCGGATCAAATAAATCAATCTTGGATATCCATCGGATTGACCAGACTGATCGGATATCTTAGAAGCGGGTGTTCTCTCTCTTTTTTTTTTACGTTTCTAACGTTTCCTTCTTTATTTTTAGGACGCCGAACTTGAACGAACAGGAACACGAGGAGGGAAAATGAAACTAGTTTGCTTTATAAATAAAAAAATTAAAAAAAAAAAGGTATCAAGGTTTCAAGGATCCGGTCCGTCTTATAAAGGTAAAGTTTAGTGCTAGTTTTCTTTATTTTTTTAAAAAAAACAAATTATTCCATTCCATTAGGAATTACCTCTGATCAAAAGTTCTAATCTTCCAGATTGGTTGGTAAGCAGCATTAGTGAAATTATTTTTAAAAACAAAAAAAATTTACTATCGAATTATTGAGTGAGTTTTTTATAAAAAAAAAAAAAAAAAGATCCAAGTATCAAGAATTCCTTTCAGTTTGGCTTTCTAAAAAATAAAGAATATTACATAACGTTTCTTAAGTGCAAATAGCTAAAAAGAATACCCACGTTTGAGTTCTCAAGCTCTAGTTCGGTTCGTTCAAGTTCGAGTAGAAAATGTTCTTTCAAAAAAAAAGTTTCCATCGGATCGTCGGATTCAAATCATATATTTCGGTTTTTATTACGCAAAAAAAAACAAATTTTAGTATTAATAAGAAAAGATTCTAAGTCAATAAATGGCTTACTATTTACCCGCTAAAAGTAATGTTTAATTTATTACAAGATTACTGTAATTTGCGATCTGCAAGAAAAATCAGTGATGTTATTTATTTTCAATTACAATTATTTAATAATAAAATATAATCTTAATTATATAATACTTGTATTTCATTTTTGCTAATATTTCTTTAAAATCAAATCCCAATAAAGACGAACCGCCCCTTTAATTTAGTAATTCGTGTATATTACTTTCATAGTTTAATAAATTAAACTCCCTGTTAGCAAATTTAAATTGTTGACCTAACGACGTACCGTTTAAGCTTAACACCGTTGAAAAACAGGTCGTATGGTGATGTAAATTTGGTTAATAATTAAAAAGCTAAAATGATTATTATTTATTCAATATTAAAAAAACTTAACCTTCGTGAAGAGAATTTTTTATCGCTACATTATATAAATTTCCAGGTGAAGTTTCGATCTTCTTGGTATTTTGGTGCGGTATGTCATCATAAATGTAAGAAGAAACATATAAGAAATTAAATTAGAGGAGAATTGAGGAAAATAGATATGCAATGCAATTTTAGTTTTGACTTGTTTAAATGAACAATGTCATTATATACGTATATTAGATTAAGATTAATGTTGTATATTATGCAGTTTGGTTTGAATTAAACGTATCTATCATGTTGAAATTAGGAACTGTTAATTCGTGAACTAACTCAGAAATCAAGCATAGTGACCACCATATTATTGCTAACAACATATACATACGCGTTAAATAATACTTCTATATGTGTGGGTGACTTCAAATCACGATAACTAATATGACACGCTAACCACATTACTTACCAGACGTCCTATGCGCATTTAATATATAAAAGGCAGGGGAGGATGGGCGGTTAGCGTAATAAATTTCGCACGTATAAAGAAAAATATTATTGCTTCGTCAAATAAAATTTTTGAGAAAGAGTTTTTGGAAAGAACTATCCTTTGAGTTAATTTATATTGTTAATTGTGACTCTGCTTATTAATTGATTCATAATCACACACCTATAATTACGAAAACCTTATTGTTAAATTTTTTAAATCAAAAAATGGCGCAGTAAAGGAAATATGTTATTTCATTGCACACCAATTCTCGCTCATTTTCAACTCTTTGGAATCTAGGTCGTACGATTTAAATTAAATTAATAAAATGCATTGCAATTTTCCAAAAGTTATCTTCAATTAAGGTAAATAAACAACCAATTTTTTGTTGAGTTTGTCGGTATTTAAAAGAAAAGTTCGCAGAAATACAATAATATTACCACTTTCAATATAAATGTTTGAAAACTTATACTAATATGACAGAAGATCTCAAGGAATCAAAATTAATATCAACTGTAACAAATCTTATTAAGGAAAATTTAAAAGATATTCTCAAAGATAGCCTTCAAGAAACTCACTCTCAAAGAAAAATTCAAGAGAAGTTCTTTCTGAGATACAAGATAATCAATTAAATGAAGTACTAGCTTCACAACTCTTTGAAAAGATGTTTGAAAAATGAGATCAAAATTCTATCAATTTAATATTTACAATAATCAGTACTAGCTATAATAAAGAAAATTAACATATATATTATAATATCAATTTCATCCGGTTTTTATTTTGGTTAATAAAATACTTTTTTTTCAGCCGGCATTTGTCCAAAATCCGAAATAATGGGTTTTCACAAAAAAACTTTCAAGAGTAATTAGTCTGGTTATCATATTTAGTTTTGATTTGGATATTTGTTATTGATTTGATGATTTTAAAAATCCTCCCATAATTAAAAGAATTCAATTAATCAGCATATATTATACTTTACGTTAGCTAACTCTCAGAGCATTATCCGGGCAGACTTGTTAGTCAGTAATATAATGACCATCCATAAAACAAAAAAATTCTATCTACATATAAATTGAAAGTAAAGCGATTTTCTGAGAAGGTCAGACATGCGTTCTGAATAAAGATTGAAACTTAGTATGGAAAAAATTTTTATTTCTCGACGTCATATACAGCAAAATAAATGATTATACTTAGATATTTATTACTTGTTTCGACAATAAAGCATTTTTTCAACATTAATTTCCTCTTTTTAAATACTTTAAAATTTTTCTCATCAATAAAGAAACTACATTCGCAATTCAATCGTTGGTAGTGGAATTTAATCGTTTATTAGTCATATAAGCAATTTTATTTTATTTGTTTTTTTATTAACTGCAATTAAAAAAGCAGAAATAAATCTAATCAGTTTCCTTTTTTCTTTCACAAGTAAAAACGCAGACACAAAGAAATTGAATCCTTACATTCGAGAGAATTTATATTATCTTACCTTTAAATCTTTCGACGGAACAGGTTTTCATTTTGTATTCATTCTACAACTTAAACAATAGTAGTTGACTTATCTTAATTAGTTGATCAGTTTACTTATTTCATTTTCCAGCCCTTATCGTTATTCGCTATTTCAATCTTACAATCACCTCGACATATAATAGATTTATTGGGTATTTCTTGGACTTGCATTATTTATAATCTTCTCAATCAAATTTGATGTGCTATTTATTATAAATTTTAGAAGGAATATCTGGACGATAAGCAAACACTTTACAAATTTATTCCAACCAGTTATGTTTTTTATGTCTTACTGATGTAATAACATAGAAACCAACATGATGATATTCATTTTCTGTTTTAATTAAATAACTATCCTATTTTTAGTTTTCGTTCAGACATATCCACTTTTAAATCCTAATAGGAAAGGAGTAATAGGAACAAAATAATTAAGAACGTAGAAAAATATATGGGTGATGCATTATAAATTACCTTCCTTGATAAATATCAGCGATTATAAATTCAATACGACAAAAGCCTTCTTAGAACACCTAGGTCCTAAGCCTAGAATTTCTACCATTTCGCCCACACCGCTTTCATTTTTTTTGTCAAACTCTTATAATTCGGATCTGGATTCTTATGCCCAATATTATTATATATAAAACCGAGATAGTTCGATTAAATTTCGATACCGACCCTCACAATATCTAATTATCACATTGCTGAAAAGTTATAATCAAACTTATATTTAAAAATGTTCACTGCAATTAAATATATAGATCGTAGTACATGATGAAATAAGAAATTATTTAAATAAAAATTTTAGCCCACGCAAAAGGAAATACATAAAAAGAAAGGGTCTTAGGTAAAAAAATGTGAGCAGTTCAATTTTATTTTGGCTGAATGTCCAATTTCAATTAAAAAAAATTTAAGTTGGTAAGATACTAACTACAATATTCAAGCTGAACCAACTTTGGAACGACCTGTATTTTTTTTTTTTTTGCAATGTACTTTAGTCAAATTAAATCAAAGACCAATTAAATATTAAACATTCCATAGATTAAATATTGAAACGAAAGGAAAGATAAAGTTACATTAATATTAATGTATACTCTATTTCTATTAATCATAAAATTAATATAACTTTTGATAACATTTGCAAGTGGCGCAGCGAAAATTGTGGCAGTGTTAAATTACATCATTGAAATAAACAAATTTTGAGGCTGATCTGTACTTCGCCCCATTTATCTTGAAAATATAAAAAAATGAGACTTAACGTTAATCCTTTACTGTATATGCTTAAAAAAATTTAATTTTAAAAATGATATTAAAACTGTCAAGCAAAATCCTTAAACTTTTCAAGCTCATTTATATTAATAAAATATTTTCAAATTTTTAAAATCTTTTTTATTAAAAAATGGATAACTTTCTAACAAATATCCTTTAAATTTTTCAAGATTATTTAAAATTTTAAATGCTTAAATATTTTATATTTTAAAATGGGCTTAAAAATCCTTAAACTTTTTAAGCTCATATAAATTATTCTTTTTAAAAAAAACACTTTATGACAAATGTTCTTTTATTTATCAATTCTGCAAAGAAAGTTATATTAATAATAATCATACTAATACTTAAGTTTGATATACAATTTAAAGTAATTCATTTGGTCTGCAGATTTGATACAATGTTTTTTTATAACTCTCAAAATGAAAACTAATGCCAAATCTTATCTATATTAATTATATCCAATTTTATTATACCTATTAGCTGTAATAATACTTTTTAATGATCTATATAATTTTAAATTAAAACTGTAATATTATATATTTAAATTAATTGTCAAATTTATACTAAGAAAATTCAAATTGTTTTTATAATAAAGAAACATTTCTTTATAAATATCTTAGTAAATATTATATAATTTTATAATTATAATTAAAAATTATACTTATAAAGTAATTATAAGAGCAAATAATTTATATTTTAATTTTAAACAAATAATTATTATTTATTAATCAATTATTCAAATTCCAATTTATTTATTTAAAAGCTACTATTTTATTGCATTCTAATTTTTTTATAAAGTTTTATCAATATTTTAATAATTTATTTAAAAATTTAATTAATATAATAAAAGTATATTTAAGTTATTTTTTAATATAAAATGGATAATAATAATCATTGATATCTTAATATACTAAACAAAGTATTTCTATAATTAAACTTCTAATATTTTATAAACTTTTAATTAAAATAATAATAGCTAATAGTTAATTTTTTAATAGATAAATAACCTTTTAACACTAGCTTTTTTAATTATTATAAAATTCAAATTTTTAAATTATCAAATTAAAAACAATTATATAGTTTTATATTAAATAAACTATTAAAAATTTTGAAAATCTATATAAGAAAAATAAGCTATTATCACATTATCATTAGATGATTAGAATAAAGTAGATTAAGAAATATATAGAATTATACTTATATTATCTTCTAATAAAATATTAATATGAAAATCAGCAAACTTTATAAGAAAAGTAAAAAATTTAACAATCAATAAAAGTTGTCAAAACAAATAAAATAATTGTTGTATTTTACAAATTATATTCTAATACCTAGCTAAATATTATTGCATCAGAGGAAATAAATAAATCATTGAAATCAACTACAAATATATAATAAGATGTAATAATATATTCAAATTTGTAATGAATATTATAAGTAAAGTAAAAATTGGTAAAATCAAAAATATATGATCAAAAGTAATATCTTTATATTATCTAGTATTATTTTCTTATTGTATAAGTTAACACTTAACTACCAAATAGCATCTTTCTTTTATTATATGAAAGATTAATAAATTTCCAACTGACAATTCTTTAAATAAATAATTATGATAATATTAATACCAGAATTGAAAAATTAATTGATGATATACTAATTATAAAATCTAAGAATAAAATGCAAATTATAAATAGCTAATAAAAAATAGAAAAATCAGCATGAGAAAATTCAAATAAGATCTTAATTTAAATAAAAAATAAAGTTTAAATTATAATATAGCAAATAAAATAATAAGATTTAAAAAATTAAATCTAAAATGAAAAATACTTTTTTATATTAATAAATTCTGCTAAATAGATTTTACAAATTATATGATTTAAAAAAATGAATTTTGTATGCATCAGTAAATGCATAACTATTGAAGATTTAACATAAAATTAGTTTAGTTTAGTTTTTATATACTTTTAATATATAAAATTATAAAAGTAATAATTTTTATAATGTTTGAACTTCTTACTTTTTGACATATATGGGTTGATTACTAGAAAAATCAGTTAGTGTTTATATACTTTATTAATCTGCTATAATTATGTTATGCAAGATGGTTTATTGAATTGAAAGTTTTTTATCTCCTAGCGCTATTCATTCTTTCATTCTAGATGTCAGTGATGAGTCAATTAAATAACATTTCAGTAAAAAAGAATGTGATAAAATTGATTTCACACCCAGTCCACAGGTGTCTGATATTTTAGATGAAATAAATGAATTTCTGATAAAGTACCTTGATAAGGTAATAATTAATTTTTATGCTAATAACAAAAATGTATCACAAGTTATCAATCTTCTTTTCTGATGTAGTTGACATTGAAAGATATTCAAAAGATTATAAAAATACGATATTTGATGATAATTATGATCGCAAAAAAGATCATAATAAGGATTACATCATTTATGCCATATATTCATTGTAAGTATTTCAGTTCTTGTGACTGGCTTGCACATATATATGTTGAATTGGTTAAATTTATTTTTATAGGTTAAGAGAAATTGAAAAAGGAAGCTTGAAAGTAGCTAATTTTGAGACTTAGTTTAATTATCACATATGGAACCCAATTCTCGATCAAGCCTTTGGTGATATGGATGTGATAATTATCATCAGGTAATTTTTCTTTAAAAATGTAACTTTCTTAATGTATCTGATAAAGTTCCTTTTCTAATAATCCAGAGGTGAAAGCACAAGCTTGGCATCAGGAATACAAAAGAATGTGAAAAGACAATCAGAAAAATAGCAGAAAATAGGTCGCAGAAGTGACTGGATCTTAAGGTTTATCAATAATAGTGAGAAAGATGAATTCAGGGCTGAAGAAGCTGGGAAAAGTTGGTAGATGAATACGGAATAAAATCTCTCAAAGAGGCAGGATTAAAGCTATCCAAAATTCTCAGAGACATATTGGTAAAATTGATGGCAAAGAGCACGTTAGGATAAAGAGAGGTGTGCAAAAATTAAAACAGTGTATGTAATTCACACTGGTATGTATGATCTTTCTACTTTAGCAAAAAAATCAATCTGTTAAACTAATATTTTTAATTAATAGGTTTGATAATTATGATAGTATACCTGAACAACCCAGAGAATACATCTGTAGGATCCGACATATTAAATAAATGAAAGTTCTAAGCAATACAAAATAATTTCCTAACATTTTGGACATTTTAGCATTAGTTATAAATATAAAGGTTAGACTTATGCTTTTCTTTTAGTGATTATGCAATATAAGTGCTAAAATAAACTGATATATTCATAAACTTAGGCTGTAGTTCAAGAGATGATGAAGGCAGTATATACAAAAAACAAACCATAAAATCATTTAAAGAAGCTGGGATTTGAAAGCAACCATTAAATAAAGGTGAATTCCAAATACCTTCATGCTTAACAACACCTAAGAAGGCTAAATTATGCATAGAAGAAAAAGCCCAGAATTCATATCCATCATCGCCATGTCCTGGATCTTCTGAGTCTGAATTACCATTAATATAATTCTGGTTTTTAAGAAAATATTTAGATAGTATCAATTATTTTTATATCGCAAGATGTGAGTTCAATTTGTTGTCTGTAATTATCATAATTAAGTTCATCAGGATTTATAGTCCATTTTATTCTAGAATACGTGCGTGAATGCAAGTAATAATGTTGTCAACTAAAATCTCTAAAATCTGAAACTCCATAATCTGAAATTGAAATTATTTCTGAAAACTGAAATTCCCTCTGAAATATATTAACTCTTTGAAACTCCAAAACTAATTTCAGAGTTATATTTACTATTTAACTATAATTTATAATCAAAATTTATCCAAAACTTATATTACTTATTTATTATATAGCACTGAAACTTCTCTGATAATAATAAATTGATTAAGATATTAAATTAAAAAATTTTAATTTACTAAATTAAGTAAAATAAAAATTTATTTGATAATCTAATCATTTTTTAAAATTTAATGATAATCTTTCTCTGTGTTTTTTAATGATAATCTTTATCTTTCTTTTTTAATTATATATAATCATAGAAAGTATACGAAAAGGAGGTTATTCTCAAGGAAAATATTGGGAATATTATGAACATTCTGAAAATACATAAGATGGTTGTGCTTATGCTACTTATAAATTTTGTGGGTTTTCTTTGTATAGAGGAGAATGTGCAAAAATGAAAGATTATTTAGTTAATCATTGTAAAGAAATACTGGGTTATGTTATACGAGAATATCTTCAAAAACTTTCTAATTCTGAAAAATCTGAAGAAACTTCTAAATTTTTCTTCTAACTCTTTCTTTAATAAGAAAATTAACTGATAAAACACAAACTTCATTAAAACAATTATTTAATCAAATTGAAGAATTAATATCAGGATATATAACCTAAATTAATCATGCTTTAGTAAAATTTTTTGTTTGTTGTGGTATTTCAAATTGTTGAAAATCTATTTTTCATAGATTTTATTAAAAAATTTAATCCATCTATATACTTCCATTAAGAGAAATTTTATCTGGAAGATTAATGAAAAAAGAATTAAGCAAAGTTAATTATAAAGTATCTGAAGAATTGAAAAATGAAAACAATTTAATATTAGGTTAGTATTAATTCATTTTTATATTTATTTATATTTATTAAATTTTCTTTTTTATTAGCTTTGAACAAATGGACTAGTAGTTCTCATAGGTCTATATGGAATTTTATAATTTTAACTTCTAGTAGAAAAAAATATTTGTACAAGTTATCTGATTTAAGTGAAAATTCATATACAGAAAAATATCTTGCTGATCAAATAAAAGAAGTAATTAATTCTATTGGAAGTAGTAAATTTTCTGCAATAGTAAGTGATAATGTACAAAATGTTAAAAAAATATGAAAACTTATTAATAAAGGTTTCCTTCCATTTAAGATGTAAGATGTGTAGTATATTTTATAAATCTTTTGACATGTGATATAGTTAAACATAATTTTGCTGATAATCTTTTAAAAAGAGTAAATATTCTTGTTACATTTTTTAAAAAGGTAGCAATGTCAGGTAATAATTAATTTTAATTTATATTTAAATATTATTTATATAATATCAGTCAGTAAAAATGTCACATAACTTGTTGATTACTAATTAGATAATTTATGTAACATAAATGATAAAACTTTACGTCTAAGTAACATGACTTTTTTTTAAAGCTAGTCTTTAAGCAATATTATAACAAAAAATGATCTTAAATATTTATGTTACACATTTTTTATTTTAAAGTTACATAATTCGATTTTTTAGATAACTTTTACTAGGATAGCTTTTGCGTATTTTGAGAATATAAACTTCCTGGTTATTTTTAAAAAAGTAAATATATTTTTTATTTGACCACTTATACATTCTTTTTGAATTATATTTTGTATTTCTATATAGTTTTTGAGCAAACTTTATACATTGCTTCTTTAGAAAATACAAAATTTTATTATAATATAAGACAAACTACAGTTGCCACTGGATATAACAAACCCTCCATTCTGTAGGATTTAGTTTGGTATAGGATAAGTTCATTATATAATGCTCAATCTATATACTGAACTGTTCGGTATATAGAGTCTACCAATAAATTAAAGACATGTGATCATATTAGTAATATTAGTATTAACATTTAAATGTTTACCTTGCATAATAAGATAAATGAAAGATTAAATTTTACTTCTTTAAGCATTAATTTTGTACAATTTTAACTTAAAATCTTCCATTAATGTCCATATTTTGCGTAAATTTATCTACACCTTGGTAAAAAACTTAAAAAATCACATCATTTAAAATTCACAGCTTTGTATATTATTATACTTTATTAACAAAATTATTGCCCTAATGAATATTAGTGTGTAAGTTCAATATTATATTAGAAAGACTTAGATTTTGTGCAGCTGAAAGAATATTCCCTTTTCTTGATATGATATCAGAGTTCTTTAAACAAAAGTTCTATATTTTGATGAAAAAAAAGATTATTCACGTTATGATAATTTTATATGGGAGTGTTTCTAAGAAAATCAGGTTCCGAGAAATTTTTGACTAAAATTAAGAGCTTAATACATTTTAATCTAATTACATCAAAAACTAAAATGCAATAAAAATCTCAATTTTGCTAAAAAATTCCCAGAACCTGATTTTCCTAGCAATCTACCTATATATTAGTTTAAGTCACGTGATCGTTTAGTATATCAAATATGTGACTAATATATTTAGTTTAGCCAATATAAGTTCAGATGCGGTATATGGCATTTTACTATATAATTTCAGTATATCCAGTACAATTAATTATAAAAAATTCAGTTCTGCACCATTTGGTTCGATATAATGAGTTTTTGGTATAAACAGGTTCATTATAACCAGTGATGACTGTATACTTGAAAAAGATAAGTATTCAGCTAAATTGTATATTTCTTTTCATTTACGTTAAAATCCAGTTACAATTAACTATTATTATTATTTGTTAGATTTTGAACACAGTAATTTCACCAAATATATACTCTTTTTCTATCTCATTCACTTTCAAGTTAATATAATACATTTTCATGTTCATATACAGGAATCTTATCTATGTAAACTAATAATTTTAATAAGATTTGTTCTTCATGTGATAATATTTTTTATCTTTTAATTAGATGTTGTATTTCAGAGTTTGATTTGTTAGATATTTGTAGTTCTATAAAATCTTGTTTGGATTGTGAATGTGATATTTTTTTTCTTTTTGATATTTCTATATAATCATTAAGCCTTGTTCTTTTTACTTCAAGTGATCGTCTTCCAGTAGAATCTTGCTTTTCTGTCTTTAAAATTTCTTGCAAATATACTTTATGAATTCGTTCCAAACTATCAGAATTATATGCAATTAGTTTTTTGCAACCTACTTTATTTAATTCGAAAGGAATATATTTCTGAAAAATTGTATGCTCAAAGGAATTTTCTATATCAAATATATCAATTAGATTATTTACCAACTTCTATAAAGCTTATTTTCAAGATTTAATAGCTCGTTAACTATGAAATACTGATATATCTTTCAAATATTCACACAAAAGTAAGTTGATATATTCTCTTTTGGATTGGGCTGCTTTTATATTTTTCTTAAGAATATCTTCATTAATTACATTACCACTAATATTTTGTTTTATGAATCAAATGGGAGGATTTTTAGGAAAATCAGGTTCTGAGAAATTTTTCACTTAAATTAAGAGCTTAATACATTTTAATCTAATAACATCAAAAATTAAAATACAATAAAAATCTCAATTTTGTTAAAAAATTCCCAGAACCTGATTTTCCTAACAATCAACCCAAATGCCAAATATTTCAAGAGCTTTATCAAAAGCAAAACAAGCAGATTTGTTTTGAGATTTATTAATTGAATAAAGTTTGAATATATCCACTTTATGTAAGGATTGATTGAGTTGAGGATAGGTATGTAAAATAGAAAAATTATGTACAATAGCAGTAATATAATTGTATTTACCTACATTTGCATAAAGTGGTGTTGCTGATGCTAAACAATTTCATTGCAATTCATGATTTTCATTTCTTATTTCAATTTGATATGCTTTTTATATTCCTACCCATTGAAAATATAGGTAACAAACTTTAAGCAATATTTTTTGATCATTTTTACCATCTATTATCATATTTAAAGGTATTTGTTTTTTTTTAATATAGATATTAATAGCAATTTTAATTGCCATCCAAATAAGTTCCAATACTTATGATATAGAACAATAGTTAACATTAGTTTCTAATTTATCAAAAAATTGAACTCCTAATTCATTAGCAAAATTTAAGATACTATAGCTTAAAAAAAATACAAGCAAAACTGAACAAAAATCCTTGGAAGTATGCTATTATTTAAATAAAAGACGTAGTTTAGACCATTTTTTCTTACATTTTATTAATCTATAAAATATAGTATAGTCTCATCTGCGACAATATTAAAATAATCATTATCATCTAATAAAAGATCTTTTTTATATATCATTGTTGCGTTTAGAATTTCTTTATCTGAATTTGGATTATTACCTGACTCTAAAATTATTATACTTGGTAATGATCTATAATATCCTGATTCAAATTCAGAAAGTATTAATTTTTTAATTGTTTTTGTATCAAAGTCTTGATTATAAACCAATTGATTGTCCTTTATTTTAAAATCTAACAACTTTTCAATTATTTTTTAAAATATTACTAAGGCTTTATTTGTATCTGAATTCATTCTAAATAAATGAGTTTTTTCATTTAATTCTACTACTTCTGGAATTGTATTAACATTAAATAAAAGATTTGATTGAAATATTATTCTTAGCATTACATGTAATGTATTTCGTATAACATCATATATATTTTCAAAAAAAACTTTTGATTTAAAATTAATATTATCTATGACCGCAAAATTTTAAATTTTTTCTCCCTTTATTAAATGTTGAGATGGTATAGCATTGTTCATATGAGTTATTTCTTTATTTTGTTCATGTCTTTCTGT